CCTGGTGGCCTTTCCAAATTGGATCCCCCCCCCCCCCCCCCCCCCTCATGCAATAATTCCTCCCTATGGTCTTCCAATTCCTCCGATGTTAAAAAGCACTGCGTTACACTATAAATTATGTATGCTTTACATTATGTATGCTTTACATTATGAATGCTTTACATTATGAACTTGTTGCATTATGAAAGCTTTACATTATAACTACTTAACTGCATTATGGATGCTTTACTATGCGAATGCGTTACATTTTGAACAAGTTGCATTATGAATGCTTTACATTTTGAACAAGTTGCATTATGAGTACTTTACATTTTGAACAAGTTGCATTATGAATGCTTTACATTTGAACAAGTTGCATTATGGATGCTTTACATTTTGAACAAGTTGCATTATGAATGATTTACATTTTGAACAAGTTGCATTATGAATGCTTTACATTTGAATAAGTTGCATTATGGATACTTTACATTTTGAACAGGTTGCATTATGGATGCTTTACATTTCGAACAAGTTACATTATGAATGCTTTACATTTTGAACAAGTTGCATTATGGATGCTTTACATTTTGAACAAGTTGCATTATGAATACTTTACATTTTGAACAAGTTGCATTATGAATGATTTACATTTTGAACAAGTTGCATTATGAATACTTTACATTTTTAACAAGTTGCATTATGAATACTTTACATTTTGAACAAGTTGCATTATGAATGATTTACATTTTGAACAAGTTGCATTATAGATGCTTTACATTTTGAACAAGTTGCATTATGAATGATTTACATTTTGAACAAGTTGCATTATGAATGCTTTACATTTTGAACAAGTTGCATTATGGATGCTTTACATTTTGAACAAGTTGCATTATGAATGCTTTACATTTTGAATGTTTGAATAATTTGCACCATCAATGTGTTACATTAGAAATGTTGTACATTAGGAATACGTTACATTCTGCCCACGTTACATGATGAAAACTTTCCATTATGTTACAATATGATTTCGTTACATCATAAATTTCTTAAATAAGAGACGTTTAATACGTTTTGTGATGAAATGTCACTGGCTTAACGTACCCTTACGTCACATTTTAGCAGCTATTGTTATTATCATTATTATTGATAGTCACGTTATGCATTGGTACAATTAAAGAGATAAAAGATATCATTATTTCTAAGGTAATGGGTCAAAATATATATGAAGAATCCTGAAATGAAAAGTGTTATCGTTTTTCTGAGCCACCAGATATATTTAAGAAGATGTGAAAAGTACATGGGACGCTTGCTTTAATGCTTTTACATTCGACTCCTTACCTTACCTTAACAGGACAAAGAAAACACTTGTTTGTCCAATTATCTTTCTTTCCAAAATAAGAATGACGAATTATATTGCCTTTCCAAACTCTCATAGAGGTATCAAGGCGTTAATCTATCATGTTAAGCAATATCAATGTCAAAACTCAACCCCTAACGGCAGGATGTAAGGTTAAGGGACACATTTTCAAGATTTTAGCGTACAGTTTTCACAAATGTAAGCAGAAGGAAATTCGACCTAAGAAAAAGTGCTAATATCCCTTCAACAGATTTTCAGTTTGCAAAATCGAATGAATATTTGACTGTATATTTGAGAATTTACAAATAAAAATAAAATATTAATGTGCCATATTTGCAATTAGTACTTTTTCTTTAAATTTCACGTGTTGAACATTTTTGTAAAATATTGAAATAAAAAAATAGTTTGATATCTGCTGGTATAAAAAATTGTTTGCAGTATTTGAGGCAACATCTGTCCAGTAGGAGGCTTTGTATTTACTATAAATCTGCGACCAAATCTAGCATTCGACAGTGTATCAGCAAGTCTTGAATTTGCTAACGTTATAACCATGAACAACCTATTATGCTCAGTATT